AGTGGGGGTCTGGGTGTGTGGGGCTTGTCAGAGGGGTCCAGGTATAGGGGGGTAGGGCTTGTCAGGGTGAGGGTTGGATGGGCCTGCTTAACGGAGGAGCCCCAGCGGCTGCCGAAGGGATGCTGTATGCCAGGCTCCCGCTTCCCCCCACGATTCCCCTATCCCCTTTTCTTTTCCATCCCCCTCCCCTCATTCCCCTTCCCCATCCCCATCCCCATTCCACCCACTGCCTTTTCCCGCACCCCTCACTCCCCTTCCCTCATTTCCCTCACGCCCCCTTACCCAGCCACACCGTGGGTACTCGCTGTTCCACAGAAAATAGGAAGGCTCCCAGCACACAGAAAAGGAGCACAACTGGCGTTAGAACCCAGGAGGCTGCGTTCAGCTGCAGAGTCAGCGGAGCCCGAGGCGCAGCAGTTCTGCATTTGTGGAATTTGGGGGTGCACATGTAACCCCATGTGCCCCCCCATACCTCACCTCTGTTTGGGGAGCAATCCCCCCCAAAAAACCTGCACACATGATGCCCCCCCATGCAGCTTCCCTTTGCTTCCCAGCCGTTTTCTCCAGGGAAAAGCAGGAAATCTGCAGAGGCGGGCACTGTTTTCTGCGGGTGCAAAGTCCCGCAGAATCCCCCCAGGAGTAATGTGAAGTGGTCAAACTACATGGACTCAAATGCCTGCAGTATGAATGTGGGAGTTGCAAAGTGATTTGAAAAAATGGAGAAGAACAAATAAATGGACATCTATTGTGGAACTGCACAATTGCTTATTTTCAACTCGCTTTTCTCTCTCTGCTTCTTAGCCAAGCAATTTAAGGTGCCATCCTAGAGCTGTAGTAACCTTGGTGAATGGCTCTGGCAGTGAAAGAGGGGTTGAACCAGACTGTTTTTCTCCTTTAATTAAAAACAATTATCTGCAGTTTGAGGGTGTGTTAGTTGGTAAGTGAGAGCTGCAGCCTTAGATTTCAGAGGGGTGAAATATTGGAACAGCCTTCCGAGGGAAACAGTGGGGGCGAAGGACCTGTCTGGCTTTAAGATTAAGCTAGATAAGTTTATGGAGGGAATGGTTTAATGGGATAACGTGATTTTAGTCAAATCAACAGCGTGCCATCGCTGGTAAATAGTATCAATGGCCAATGAGGGTCTGGCTGGAGAATCTTGCCTAACATGCTCGGGGTTCTACTGATCGCCATATTTGGGGTCGGGAAGGAATTTTCCTCCAGGGTAGATTGGCAGAGGCCCTGGAGGTTTTTCGCCTTCCTCCGCAGCATGGGGCGGGGGTCGCTAGCTGGAGGATTCTCTGCGACTTGAAGTCTTTAAATCACAGAATTTGGGGACTTCAACAACAGAGTCAAGGGAAAGGGGTTGGGTCAGCTTTTGTGGCCTGCATCATGCGGGAAGTCAGACTAGATGATCATAATGGTCCCTTCTGACCTTAAAGTCTATGAGTCTTCTGACAAAGTTTTCCTGTCTTGTAAAGTTGTGGTGACAGGAATCATGGGGCTTGGCTCCCCATAATTAGGAAATATCACCTTTTGTAATATTAACCAAATACCCTGAATATAGCACTGATAGAAGCTGTATGAAGACCCATAACAAATAAATGAAAAACATTTTAAAACAAAATAAATGGATTTCAGAATTCACACGTTTTGTTTTCGTTGCAACTTACTGAAATTTCGTGGCAAATTGCAGATCTGTGGTGATTTCCAATAGGAAATGTGCCTGTGTTTCGGCAATTTTCTTTGTCAAATCTGTAATTCAGCAAAACATTTCACTACAGTGAATTAACATTTTCCGAAGAAATTGTTTTGTTGGGAAATTTCCAACCAGCTCTGCTTGTAATTGCTTCTATAATTGTTTTTCAGATGCCATGTTTTATTTTTAATTTGATTAGGTGATGAAATAAAATATTCCTTTCATGCACAAAAGACATGCTTTAAAATTTCTGTTTTGGCAAACTTTTTAGTATTAAGTAAAAATACATGATCCAAATTTAATCGTCGTGCAACGTCACTATTGTATTTCATAAAACATAGTTTCTTGAACTTTCATATTAAATCATTTTATATGGTACTTGGATATTTACTACTGTACTGTGAATTAAACATCAAATTGAATTTCATCCTTTTAAATCATTGTTTTCTAATGTATGAAAACAATGTACTTTTTTGAAACTTGGTTTAACATGCTATTCTGAAGTGATCCAATTAAGTCAGCATTACTTAGTAAGGGGAATTATTTTTTAGTGTAACTTTGGTTTCTAAATCTCAACCTCAGTATCAGAATATGTGAGTCTAAACTGTCATTTCTGGTTAAAATTAGAGAGACCAGGTGGGTGAGGTAATATCTTCTTTGGACCAACTTGTGTTGGTAAGAGAGACTAGCTTTTGAGTTTACAGAGAGCTCTTCTTCAGGTCTGGGAAACTAAGGGCTTGAGATAGAGATATATAGATATATATAGAGATATATAGTATGGATATAGTGCTGCAGCGACACAGATGTGCCATTGTAGTGCTTAGTGTAGACATTATCTATGCTTATGAGAGAGCTTCTCCCGTCAGCGTGGGTACCCTACCTCCCAGAGAGGCGGTAGCTATGTTAAGAGGAGAAGCCGACAGCATGCTGTCTACACCAGGAGTTTGGTTGGTGTAACTGCATCACTCAGGGGTGTGGGCTTTGCACATCCCTGAGTGACGTAGTTATACCGACATAAGTCTGTACTCTAGACCAAGCCTGAGGTCTGGTCTATGCTACGGGCTTGCATCACTATAACTACGCCACTCGGGTGTGAAAAACCCACACCCCTGAGTGACATAGTTATACTGAACTAACCCCTTCCCCCCCCAACCCCCCATGTAGACAGCACTGTGTAGCCGATATAGCTACTTCCTCTCCTGTCAGCTTACAGTGTCTTCATTAAAGTGCTGCAGGGCGGTGCAATTGCATTGGTGCTGATGCAGCATTTTAAATATAAACTTACCCTCAAAGTGTCGCTGCTAAATAAGAGGTAGAACAGATTGGTTAGCATAAATAGCTAACACATTTCAAGGGACCATTCAAAGTGAAGTGGCCTGTTTTCACCCCTCCAGTCTTAGGGAGGAAAGGAAGGGGGGGGGAAGCTGGGAGGGGTTTGTTAGTCGGTTACAGATCGTTGTAATAAACCATAAATCCAGTGTCTCTAGTCAGTCCATGATTATTAGTTTCTAGCAAAGTTATGGAATTAAGCTCCCAGGCTCAACTTTTGAAAGTGTTGTGTAGGTTTCCTTTGAGGATGAGGACTGATAAGTCAGATATAGAATGATTGCTTTGTGAAAAGTGTTCACCCATAGGTGATGTGGTGTGTTTGTCTTATTGTTTTCCTGTGTGAATTCATTCAAGAGCATAGTGATTGTCTTGTTTCACCCACATAGTTGCTATTGGGGCATTTAGTGCACTGGGTGAGGTAGACCACATGTTGTGATAGGCATGTATAGGACCCAGGGATCTTGAAAGGTGTATTGTGGAGGTGTTGATATGTCTGTCAGTTGCATCTGTTGTTCTGGCAGGGTCTGGTGCTGCTTTGAGTAGGTGTGTCCTGGTCTGTTGGAGCTTGCTTCTGGTGATGAGCTTTGAGAATATGGGTGAGTTGTTTGAAGGCCAGAAGGGGAGGGCTCAAGAAAGATTTTTTATTTATTTATTTATTTTAAGGATAGGAGCTGAAATTTATAACTTTACTAGACACTAATAATCATGGATTGAATAGAGAAACTGGATTTATGGCTTATTGCAACAATCTGTAACCCATTAACAACTACCTCCACCCAGCTGCTTTCCCCCACTTCCTTTCTTCCTTATAAAAAGAAGAACAGGAGGACTTGTGGCACCTTAGAGACTAACAAATTTATTAGAGCATAAGCTTTCGTGGACTACAGCCCACTTCTTCGGATGCATATATATGTTTGCATATATATATATATATATATATATATATATATATATATATATG